CACATCTGATCAATACTTTAACATGGCTTAGAAAATTTTTATTTGGAGACGATGTGATTAGTTTATCAGACATTGTGCTATAGTAGTCAACTAAATTATCCATGGTAACATGCAAGCTCTCGATGCATGTGAGCGGTTGTCAGATCGACCAGGAGCAACTTGTGGTAGTGAACTAGCTGGTGCTACTTCTTGTAGCTCTCGTACGTGCCCAGCAGTACCCTTTACAGAATTGTCTATTTGAGTTCAACTCCAACAGCAAGAGGCGGATCAGCACGAATATAATCACTCCTCTATTTACCTTATTTGAAGAAATTCCTCTCATCAATTGGGAACACGTTCGCCAGCAGCCACGCTAGCCACGTTAGCAAAAATCTTTTGGGCCGTCTGGAGACCAATGACGACCGTGCATATTGTGTTTGCAATGTTGCCTTTGTTATGATCGAAAATCAGTCTGTCACCTAACATTTTTTTTTTGCGATTTATCACCTAACAATTTCATATGAGCATTCTGGTTTTCTGGGACTAGTACGATTTATTTGCACTTGATACGAGTACCTTGCTATTGCTAACTTTCTTTCTGAATAGCTCAAATTTGATTGGGCGGGTTGGACTCAATTTAGCGCTAAAGCGACACAAAAAAGACATTTTTTCAGCCGCTTGGTGGATCCCGAATTGGAATCGGAGTTTGGTCCCGGCCGGCGCCGCGATTGAAGGCATTACTCCACTCCAACGCCACAGTCCAAGCTCAAAAGCTAAAACCAACCAACCATATATATCAACGTCATGCGTCCTTTTCAATTAGTCTTCATGATCAATGCATGCATGGTGGGTATTTCAACTCCAATATTGATCCACCCCCTATTGTTTTGTCTCAACATTTCGCTTTCTTAACCCAACATTCCAACCTGTTCATTGGATTTTACCGGATAATTTTGGTTTTAAGGGCGTGGAACAAAACAATATAGCCGAGCGCTAACTGTTCCCTGCGAGTTGCAGCGACATGATCTAGAACTCAAACATGCAAGCCCAACTCTTATCCTTAAGATCCATGTATTCCTGTTTAAATATTAATTGTTGATTCATAGGACATTGAATTGTTTGAAAACATACATTTATTTTGTATGAAGTTCTAGCTATGCATATATATACCTCATCTATGCATCCACCTTCCTTGTCTCTTTTCCCTGTTTCTAAAATACACCTTCGACCTCATTGTTTTATGTGAATAATGAGATTCGACCTGTTGGCAACCATCCACCACATACTCTCTTTCAACTGGCCCATACTAATTAGCGCCATCAATTTCTATAATGAACCCAGAAAAATACGAGCACCCATGTTAGATCATTGACTTAACCTAAGTGGGTAATTTCACCAAAAGGAACCTAACCTTCGCAAATGATCCTTCATTTAATTTTCACACTCCAAACACATTCTCTATTTAATGTCGTCAAATTAGTATCGACCAAAACGCTTTTGCAAAAAGAAGATTATTATAGAACAAATTGAAGGACAAAGCGGACGACCAAACATGAGACAATAAAAATTACTCACGAGAACTTTGGCCTTTGCCCAAACTATGACCAAACACATCTCTCTTCTATCAAAACCAAATCCACATAGCCATTGATAAGCTATTCGACTAGGAATAATTGAAAGTACGTCTAGACCTTAAGCGGGTACTGATGGATTGAATGATAACACAATTATGTCATCAACCTACTTTGACGAAACCATGTGCATGTATATAGTTTCAAGATGATTTATGTATTAGAGCTAGCTTGTCATCCCTGCTGTCACAATTGAGTCAAAGAATGACCTATGGGATAGGAAGATGACAAGCATATTAGCAATGTGTGAGACAACCGAATCAACATTGTCATATGATCCGGTGTTGACAACGGTGGCTAACAAATCATCCGGTGATGACTAGATCTGTTAGATTTTTCCAATGGCTGGCAGCCCTTTCACCTTCTATATAAAGTTCAACTTTCTCACTTGGAGCTGCTCTTACCTCATTGTTGCCAACACTTATAGAGAGGATCGTGAAGCTATTTTAAGCCATCCAAGCTAAGAAGTGAGATTTGAGTGTTAGCCTTGAGTGATCCTAGTGTTTTTGGTTGGATTTCTTTGAGTTAGATCTGAATGCCTATTACTCTTGGTGATTGCCATCACACCTAGACTAACCTAGTTGAGGATTTGGTGACCTTCCTCGGTAGAGTTCTTCTTTAGTAGACTCTAATTGGTGTGCATGGTTTGAAACCCCGCTGTTTTGGACTGGAGAACGGGTATTCACTAGTGAAGCGGAACCTAACTGAATCTTGGTGACTCTTTGGTGATCCATCAAGGACTAGGGGATTGTGGCAACTTTTGGTACCACAGAAAAAAATCCAATTGTCTCTTTGCCTCTATTGATTCTAGCTTCTTGTTGCCTTTGTTGTGTGCAAGTTTCATTGAGTGACAACTAGGATTTCTTCGTAAGTGTACTTAGCATAGGATTACTTCTTGAACTTAAGTACAATTCTCTTAGTGTGATCATGGGCTTCCATTTAGTTGTGTATTTTGTAGGTTGTATCAAACGTTCTATGGGGATCTTGATAGACTTTGTTACATTTTCCTTTAGTTATCTTGCTAATGACTTGTTGAGCTTGTGGGCCCTAAAGAATCTTTAGTGTTATTTTGTAGAAAACTTAGGTGCCAATGTGTTAAAGGGATAAGATTTTTTTTGCATAGGCTAAGGATGTTGCTTTAAATTCTTAGAGCCCAATTCAAGCCCCATATTGGGCCATTCGATTCTTACATGTGATCTTGCTCCCATAAAGAAAAAAGTTTATCAGCGATTCGAGGAAAGTGGTTTAAAGACAAATAGCTAAAGCTTGACCTTTGGCATGACTTTCTCAATGGAGGCATAAGGTCCCAATGGTAGGCCTAAATTTGAGGAAACAAATCATCATGTATCCAATTTGGTTTGCATTTCTACCATATATTTGATTTCCACATTGTTCTACTTGGATGTGCTTGTTTGTGAGTGCAATGACTTAGTTAAATTGATAAGGAACACCTAAAGAAGCATACTCTCCAAGTTAGGAAACATGACAAGGTTGGTTTCTGTAGATTTCGTGTAAAATTGCTTAACTGCAAGATTTTTGCCGATTAGCCTATTCAAACACCCCTCTCCGCCTCTCTAATTGTCATCTCAATCCTTTCAACAATGCTAGGAAAGTGTAGAAGTAAAATGGAAGAAAGGACGAGTCAAGAACAATCCTTGATGGTCAAAGTGCGGGAGTTCCAAAATAAAGTTCAAGGTTCCACACAAGTTCGAAGGTTCAAGTGCGGAGATAATACAAAATGTAGTCTAGAGTTTCAAGTGCAAAGGTAATGTAAAAACATTCAGGGGTACACAAAAATGTCTGAATGTTGTTTTGACGATTTTAGTCACTAGTATTAATTCGTAAAACCACTGGATATGTTGTGAATCTGGCAGACGACATAGAAGGATGGGGTTTATATTGTGAAACCCTCGAGGCTCTATTTGTTTAAGCTTTTATGGCCCAAAGTTGAAACAAGCATGCAACTTTTGCCTCAAATTTCATGATTCAACTCGCTAAAGTGAAAGAAGCTGGTCTCTCTTAAACTTTTGTGGACAATGACTCAAGATTACTTGCAATGCCACTTGTTATAAACCCTAAGAGGTGATCTCCGTAGTAATCAAACAACCCTAGAATACAAGTTGGCAAACAACTATCGGCTTTTAGCCTTGAATATTTTAATGAGGGATGAAAGCAAATCAGATCTACACCGTCTTCTCCATATTCTAATCCATTTAATTTTATCAAATTCAGAGTGGAGCGGATAATGCACATTTACAATTACAAATACATATTTTTTTCAACGTCGAAAAAGGTATTGAGTCACAAGGGAAATCGTATCGGAGAATATCCATGTCACTTTCACTCATAATTTTTAATCTACTTTTTTTTATAACCTAGAATCATCAACATGTTTTTTTTTAAAAAAACAAATACCTAGCTGGAATAAACTTGCCCTAAGCCAGAAGCCTTGACAAGCACATACTCAGCATGTTGGAAATGGACGATCATGAACATGAATGAACAGATGTTGCTGCAACTAACACATCGCAGTTTTTTTTTTTTTGAGCAAACACATCACAGCGCTTTGCAACCTACGACTCCCAAATAATCACCTGCAGGCCCTACAGCTACACCGACCACAACAGGGCGGCCGGGCATGGATCAGGTGCACCGGCACCGCGCAGTAGGGTCCGCAGTAGTGTCGAAAGCCAGGCAGGCGCCCAGGCCCTCCGGCCGGCCGCTCTTAGCCGCCGGCCAGCTGTGCGAGCCGGCCGCCGCATCTGCCGCTCATGTGGTGTGGATGAACCGCATATGTCGCGGCCGCTTCACGCTAATGGCGAATAAAGAATTGCTACTATAGCATGTTCGGTGTGCCTCGCGTCAAATCTAAATAAAAAGCTTGGGTTCCCCCATCCAACACGGTCAGCCTCAGGCAGATCCACTAATCAGCAACCACCAGGAAAGCAACGCAGTGATATACTAAGTTAAGTCTCCCCCAATTACTAGTACGAAGGAACAAAAATGAACTTTAACAATCTGTACATTTTAGGAAATATAAGTAAATTGTACCCTCTCTTTGTCAATAAGGCATGTACTATAGCTTTCAAAATAGAACTATATAAAAAAACTTGCAAAAAAAGAAGAAGAAGCAAAAGGGGTTAAAAAGTAGGGCCGATTCCGATAAGCTCGAGCTAACGGCCCGTAGTCATCACGGAAAATAAAGAGAAGGGAAGTCAACACCAGGACTCGGCCGGTAACACTGGCGCTAGCACTGGCAAAGATCGATCGGTCATCACCGTTAAGGAGACTCCACCAGCACCGGTAGCCATCGCTGACGCCGCCTACCCCCGCCCGGATCTCACTGCCTCTCCCGCCCCTGCTCGCAAGTCGCCGTCGCCAGCCACCGCCATGGGCACGGCCAACGGCCAGCAGCCGGCGGAGGGCGCTTCCTCTGACAAGCTCCGCCACGTCGAGTCCATGTCGGAGCTGCCCTCCGGCGCCGGCAAGATCTCCGGGATCAACGCCGTCGTGCTCGGGGAGTCGCTCGCCGCCGAGGAGAACGACCTCATCTTCCCCAGCTCCGACTTCTCTGCCAACGCTCTCGTCTCCTCCCCGAAACAGGTGCGTACAAACCGAAACTTAGTACTTGTCTGCCAACGTGCGCTTCTTGATTCTTGCTGTCGAAGCAAATGCAAAAATCGAGTCTTTTTATCCAATCAATGGCGCTTGCTCTAGACTAAGGCGTTTGCTTTAGCACTTGGGCGCTTTTCATTTTGGGCGTCGTACAACTTTGCAAGCGTGAGTGAGGGGGTCAGTCATGATCAGGCTTGTTGGGAAAGTCCGACAGGGACAACTATGGGACATGAACAGTACGGCCAAATCGGGAACGACATTTTATCTGCGCTGGTGTTTGTTCCTCATCTTGTTTTCGACTGTTGGTGATGTAAATAACATTGTGATCTTGGTGTGATTTTTCATGATCGGCATCAGTATCGGGAGATGTATGGGAGGTCCATCAAGGACCCGGCCGGGTTCTGGTCGGAGATTGCCGAGACCTTTTACTGGAAGGAAAAGTGGAACCCCACCGAGGTCTGCTCGGAGAACCTCGATGTCACCAAGGGACCCGTCCAGATCAACGTAAGTGTTGTTTGATGGTTGTTAGCTAAACTTAGCATTCCTTTGGAATGGAACGGGTATGGTATAGTGGTTCTGATTCCTCTTATGGTTATTGGTTCTGTACAGTGGTTCAAGGGAGGGAAAACCAACATATGTTACAACGCTGTTGACCGCAACATCGAGTCTGGCAATGGGGACAAGATTGCAATGTACTGGGAGGGCAATGAGCCCGGTCAGGATGGGAAGCTCACCTATTCCGAGCTCCTGGAGAAGGTTTGCCAGGTAAATGCATGCTCATGTCCGAAAAAATTGCCAAAAGTAAAACTGTGAGTGGCAAATGTACCAGCACATATGTCAACACTTGCATTCTGAGGCTCAAAGAAGATGACCAAGTCTAAGCCGTCCTTTTATGTTTGTAGCTTGCAAATTACTTGAAGAGCCTTGGTGTCGGCAAGGGTGATGCTGTTATTATCTACTTACCAATGTTGCTGGAGCTTCCCATTGCCATGCTTGCTTGTGCCCGCATTGGTGCTGTTCACTCAGTAATTGCCACAACTACAAGCTGTATTGGTTGTTTTGTCAATGGTTTTCCTTTCTATGTTGTGATGCAATCATGCTTGTACAGGTTGTTTTTGCTGGCTTCTCAGCAGATTCGCTAGCCCAAAGGATTGTTGATTGCAAGCCTAAGCTTGTCATCACGTGCAATGCTGTGAAGCGGGGAGTCAAGTCCATCTTTCTCAAAGATATAGTGGATGCAGCTTTGGTTGAAAGTGAGAAGAATGGAGTCTCTGTAGGTATGCACTGGGATCTGGTTTGGGTATTCACATCAGTAACATTGAGCTTTTGTTAGATGGCAGCTATTTTGTACTCGTTATTTCTTCCCATTGTCTGTCAATGCTTTCTTGTGACATCATGCCAAACAAACCTCATATGAAGATAGACACAGAGCTAAGGGTTACACTAGGGTTCTCAATATGTTAATTTTTTTTTCTGTAGTTGCTCATTGATGGGAGACAAGCGAAACTAATCCCACATTTGGGTAAAGAACCGATTAAGGAAGCCAGTCTAATAAAACATTCATGGGGCAATTAATGGTAACTAATTTTGTGAAGCTTCAAATTAGGGGAGTTCTTGTATATCACAGGTCACAAGCATACTTGATTTAAAACAACAAAGGTAAGAGGTGGCATCTGATTGTTTATCCAAATGTCAGAAAACCGAGGTACATGAATTGGGAGACAGAAACGGGACTTGCTATGTCGCAGGTGGCTAAAAAAAGGTAGTCTTCAGTCAACCAATGAAGGGCGGGCCTGGTGCAAGCGGTAGAGTCTTACCGCCTGTGACCGGAAGGTCCCGGGTTCGAGTCGCGGTCTCCTCGCATTGCACAAGCGAGGGTAAGGCTTGCCACTGACACCCTTCCCCAGACCCCGCACAGAGCGGGAGCTCTCTGCACTGGGTACGCCCTTTTTTTTCAGTCAACCAATGCTGACCGTTGGATGACAACTGAACCATTGAAACATTGTTTTCCAAATCTGCACCTCTACCTCTCTTGTGATGTTCTCTTTGGGTATCTTTGGTTGCCGGATGGGGGTTGCATGGTATATCCTGGATGAGGGGACGTAGGCTGATTGGAACTGTATTTAAAAAAAAGACACTGTTTGGTGAGGTTGCATGAGCAGATGCAAAAAAAAAAAAAAAAAAAAAAAACTGTGATGCTGGTTGGTTACCTGCATGAGCGGATGCAACCTCTAGCCTGTGAGATTGACGTGTGGGTCCGCCACCCTCATCTTGCATCCACCGAGCTAGGCCTGGTAGTGAAACTCAATTCGAGTGTATCCTACCAGCCTCCATCGGCCCATGCAATTGCATCCGCTTGTGCAAGTCTTGTACCACATGCGGCCAACCAAACATCCTGCTCAGGCAGCTTTACATGGCTTCGTGCGTGCAAGCTAAGTGGAGCAGAGGGACCAAACATGCTCTTTGTTTCTCCCTGTGTGCAATGGTGAGCCATTAGCAAACTTCCCCACACACTGACCTCCTTCATATCCAGTAGATCTCTGGGTAGTCGCTTTGATGCCACTGGCACAGCACTACACAACCGGCAGAATGCCATCCATGGCCAGCAACATTTCGCTGCCCCACCGTTGTGCCGGCCTTCTTCCCAGGGAAAATATAAGACCGACAAGAGCACATCCGAAGCTGGAAAACCCGTCCCAAAGTACAAATATCACAGTAGGTGCTTTATGGATGTCGTCAACTGATTTTAGGTGATATTTCAGTTTCCTGCAATATAGGAGGCGCCAGAAAATAATCCATTACTCCTAGTCCTAGGGGTTGTTCGTATCTTATGTTACGTCAAAACCATAGGATATAGATGCTGCAAGATTAACATCTTATTTGGTTAGTATATCGTAAAATCGGATGTCATATTCAAAGTATTAGTTTTCTGGAAACCATTCACACCTGGTTTCCTCGAAACTCAAAATAATAAGAGTAGCAACAGATGAATTGAAAGGACGTATCCAGTGCAGAGAGCTCCCGCTCTGTGCGGGGTCTGAGGAAGGGTGTCAATGGCAAGCCTTACCCTCGCCTGTGCAATGCGAGGAGACCGCGACTCGAACCCAGGACCTTCCGGTCACAGGCGGTAAGACTCTACCGCTTGCACCAGGCCCGCCCTTCATAAATGTACAGATGAACTGAAAGCTAATTTTTTTCTTCTTAACATAATGATGCGCAGCAATCCTACGTGTTCGAGAAAAAATTTTAGGCAATATCTTATCCTTACCAAATGGTGAACAAAAAAAGAAACTAAAACTAAAACAAACATTTGTTTCAACAGACCCTGAGATTCAAACAGCCACTTAATTTTTAGAATCGTATAAAATGTCGCATTTGGATGATGCTTAGCCATCAATGCAATAATCTGCATTGGCCGGGGTATCCTATATTGCTGCATTTGTCGTATATAGTGTACTCAACCTCAAGTCCTCAACTATATTCTCACTTGATAGTCAAGGAAACTTCTTTTCTGGCATGTGGTTCATTCAATGAGCACATCTGAGAACTATTGAATATAGCCTGGTTTGTAGTCCACTGATGCGGACTTTCATTGTGCCGATACTAGGTCTCTGCCTGACATATGAAAATCAGTCAGCCATGAAGAGGGAAGACACAAAATGGCAAGCAGAAAGGGATGTTTGGTGGCAGGTGCTCCTAAATGAAAACTTGTTATTATATACAGTAGTCATCCTATATTTCAAGGCACGCGCATATCTACTGTGAATAACATTGCTAAATTGTTATAATTTGTTGCACAATATCTTTCAGGATGTCGTGACCAAATTTCCAACCAAATGTGATGTGGAATGGGTGGATGCAGAGGATCCATTGTTCCTTTTGTACACAAGTGGCAGCACAGGGAAGCCAAAGGTACTTCTAAGTTCTAACTGAGCTGTATTCAGCAGCTATTGCATTAGCTGGATATTTATCTCTCTTGTTGTATGTAGGGTGTGTTGCATACTTCTGGGGGCTACATGGTGTACACTGCAACAACCTTTAAGTACGCATTTGACTACAAGCCAACTGACATATACTGGTAGGTGGTAGCACATAAGCTCTTATGTTTTTTAGCATGTACCCTCATTCCTTTGTGGGGAATTATTCATAGAAGCTGCTATTTCCTTATCCACCCCCGCTGTTTTGTTTGCATCAGGTGCACTGCAGACTGTGGTTGGATTACTGGACATAGTTATGTAACATATGGTCCTCTCCTGAATGGTGCTACGGTTCTCGTTTTTGAAGGGGTATGTTTATTAAAGATTTTTAGCCAATGTGTAAATTGAATTGTGGTATCTGATAATAAAAGCAAACTATCTGGTTTGATAGTTTTCTTCTCATTTCTTTGTTGAACTTGTCTTCTTGTCTGGCAACTTATAGCAGTTCATTCTTCGCAACACCAAAGTCTAGTATTATTGTTTGAACAATGCTTGGCTGCTTGTATTTGTTTTGGTGTATTCATTGGATGTTTTCTATTTTTCTCAAATTTCAGTAAGCTAGCCTACTGGGTTCTTTTTTTTCCCCAATCTCCTTATTCCTAAAGTAATCCTTTGAACCATACATGTAGACTCCGAACTACCCTGATTCGGGCCGATGCTGGGACATTGTGGACAAGTACAATGTGACAATATTTTATACTGCCCCGACTCTTGTTCGTTCACTCATGCGTGATGGCACCGAGGTATGCACTGCTTCTCTCACAATACATGATTTAATTTTGTAACTTTACACGGTTACTGCTTCTCTCACAATACATGATTTAATTTTGTAACTTTACACGGTTACTTGAACCCGACATCATGTGATGCTGGGTATCAAATTACCCCTATTACTTAGGTCCTGTTTGCTAGAGCTCCAGCTCCAAGTATTTCTAGTTTCAGAAATGTGTGAATCTGAAGCTGCGGGTACACCTGAGTTATTTGGTTGAGCTTTTTCTTTCTATTCTTAAAAAAAAAGAGTTCAAGGTTCTTTATTTTAGCATACAAACTCCAGTTATTTGTTGGTGCCCAGAGCTGGAGCTTTGCCAAATAGGGCCTTAAGTCAACCTGATTGTTTTAAAAATGATTGGGAGGGAATCTATAGCTGTTGCTTCTTTTTTTCATTGCCAATAAAGAAACTCTTCTACTTCAAGGCTGAATTCTTACGGGATGGCTAGTATTTTTAGATAATGTCAACAATTGAGTCATTTAAAATTTTGTATTCATGTATTGACTTTGAATATTCCTTATCTCTGATCTCTGCTATGCTTTTGAAGTATGCTACACGTTACTCTCGAAAGTCTCTCCGAGTCCTGGGAAGTGTTGGTGAGCCAATCAATCCTAGTGCATGGAGGTGTGTGGACCTTTTGCCAACTGTTAACAATTTGTACAAACATAATTATAAAAGGTCATATGTCTGTTTTACTTCCTTTCAGATGGTTCTACAATATTGTTGGGGATTCCCGGTGCCCCATATCAGATACCTGGTGGCAAACTGAAACCGGCGGTTTCATGGTATGATCTTTACAGTATACACCTCTTGTGAAATTTGATATTTTCTTTCTGGGACCACAAAACAATTGTGATTGTCAATGTTTTATGAACTGCTGTGTTTGCTTTCTTTAGATCACCCCTTTGCCTGGCGCCTGGCCTCAGAAACCAGGTTCTGCAACCTTTCCTTTCTTTGGTGTTCAGGTAAACCCAATATATCTATGATATCTAAAAAGATATATGATCCATTTATTGTTAAATTCTGAACTGCAGTCTGTTATTTTACAGCCAGTCATTGTTGATGAGAAAGGGCAAGAGATTGAAGGGGAATGCAGTGGATATCTTTGCATAAAAAAATCATGGCCTGGGGCTTTCCGGACTCTGTATGGAGATCATGAGAGATACGAGACCACATACTTCAAACCATTTTCTGGGTACTATTTCACTGGTGATGGTTGCAGCAGGTAAGTTACCATAGTTTTTATCCTAATTATATGGGGATTGAAGCATATTGAGAGAATTTTTTACTCTTTAAACTAGTTCAGCTAATATCCTTTTCATTTCAGAGACAAAGATGGTTACCACTGGCTGACTGGAAGAGTAGATGATGTCATCAATGTCAGGTAAGCTACTTATTTGGTCCGTGTCATCACTTGGTAGAATTTTAGTTTGCGAATGGCATTGCCAACTTTCAAGTGATAACTATCTTACCCTTCATGTGAATATAGTGGACACCGAATCGGCACAGCCGAGGTTGAGTCAGCTTTGGTGTCACATCCAAAGTGTGCAGAAGCTGCTGTTGTTGGTGTTGAGCATGAGGTATAGGCTGCTGTTGTTTTTTTATCTCCCTTTTCAAGCCTCATTATCTTTGGTATCCTACCATATATGATTCTTAATTAATAAATTACCTCCAGGTCAAAGGTCAAGGAATTTATGCTTTTGTAACTTTGGTGGATGGGGTTCCGTATAGTGAGGAACTACGAAAAAGCCTTATAATAACAGTGCGCAACCAGGTATTTTGTTTATTTTGTATGGTATGACCGAAGAGGTCACATTTTGTACAGACAAATGGTCTGTACCCTGTTGCTGAATATTCTGTTCTTGGTAGTTGGTTGGCATGCGATAGTCCTTATAAAGTTATAGATTGTGCATAATTACATTCCATTATAAAGCAGGGTTGGATAATCAACTATAAAGTTTCTTATGTGCCTATAATTTTTTCAGGTCACAGTTGACTAAATTGTTGTCACAATGCTAGCGTGAATGAACCATGAATGGAGGCACATATACTGTCTTTCTGTCAGTCTCTAGTTCCTGCAAAGTAGTTAACAATCTTTAGATGAAACATCCTTGAGTTCAGGAAAATGGTGTGAGCTCTGTGTTGATTATAACTGAAAGATAGCAAAGAAAACATGTGCAGACAAAGGATGTAGGAGTCGGTTAATTTAAACCTGTTGGACATGCCATTTCTTATATTGGCTCCTGCCATTAGGTATGCCAGCAGGTTAAGCAATGTGTAGTTGGGTTAACGATCTAGTTCATTCGGTCTCTAAATCCAAGAAAAAGAATGAACTAGCATTCTAGCAATGAGGTGAAATAGAATTTAGTCAGATGGTGTGGGTTTCGGGTTGATTAATAAAAAGAAAGAAACCTGCGTTCTTACCTGTAGTGCTGAATTCTTTCACATGATTTAAACACAAAATACAGTAAGCTTCATCTTCACATGATTTTATCATGCCTTTTTTTGCAGATTGGGGCATTTGCAGCTCCTGACAAGATCCACTGGGCACCGGGACTTCCTAAAACCCGGAGTGGCAAGATCATGCGAAGGATTTTGCGTAAAATTGCTGCACGGCAACTGGACGAACTTGGGGACATAAGCACCCTTGCTGAACCTGGTGTGGTTGACCAGCTTATTGCGCTCAGCGATTGCTAGGTTGCAATGTCGAGTGCATGTTGCGTTTCTCTGTGTACTATGAGTAGAATGTGCATTTCAATATCGAGAACTTAAGTGGGATGTGATGACATGTTGTCGATGTTTCTTTTTAAACTTTTGTATCAGACATCAAGATAGGTCCGTCAGAATGTATTATTGATTGACACAATAAATATATCAATAAATTGTTAAATTTTCATTTGGTTTCGTTTGGATGAACTTTGCCCTTGTTTTGGGGATTCATTTTGATAGTCCTTTTACTTTCTGCATTATTTATTAGTGATATTCAGGTTTAGCGACTTTTGAACAACCCCCCCCCAAAAAAAAGGAACACTTTAGTTTTAAAGAATCATTTTTTTCTCTGAGTTTTTGAAACAGAATTGGTATCAGACAAAGCAAGGGCATGCTTATAAGATGAAGCACGACAACCTACTTCAAGAACTGAAATTATATGGTACTCATTTCACTTCAAATTATAAGACATTTTGCTTTTCTAGTTACATTGCTTTAATTCTAAGTGCATAGCAAATACTATATATCTAGAAAAGTCAAAACGTCTTATAATTTGTGATGGAGGGAGTAGTTACTAAGAACAGGTTGTAGTTTCCCTTGATAACTTGTCGAAAGCAGTGCTGTATCTCATGTGAAATTCCATTCTGTGCCGTATCCCAGACGTATCCGTATCTGATACGTATCTGATACGGGATACGCCCCTTCCCTGCCGTGTCCGTGCTTCTGAGCTGTGATCAATTGTATATTAGGCATGTACAACCTGAACGGCATCTAAGTTCTGACCGCGCAGCAAAACTCGGCCTGGCCGCGTACTTCTGCATTCCAACATCATCATTACTCATTGTTTTTTCGGTCTCTGTCCTTTCTTCCTTCTCTTTTCCTCGATTTCTGCTCTAATCAACGCAGCACTAACCTTTTTAGATCACCGTTAGCGGAGCCGGAGCACATCACTCATCAGGTTCTTCTACGGCTAGGTGGTGTGTTTGTTATGTGATTCCACGGCAATCAGATCGATCGAGATATGAGTTGTTTGCTCTAAAAATGGCAGAGCAGATCAATTCTCCACCATCACTCGGATTCCTTGCTTTCCTGCCTGCTTTTGGGTCTGTTCGGTTAGTATTAAAGCCGGCTAAAGCTGTTTTGCTGTTTCAGAAAAATACTGTAGATTCTAGCTGATAAGCGTAAGCGAATAAGCTGACGCTAATGTGCATTATTTGATGATGGCAAATCAAATTTCCATGGGTGCATTTGTAATTTGATCCAAGACTTGGATCATAATTAGGCGGCTCCATGGCTCGGATCAGAATCAAATGTGCTGGCCTGTGGTCCCTTCGGCGATGGTGCTGGCTGCCTGGTCCCACTGTCAGTAACTCAGTATCAGTGCCATCCGGCCCCATCGAACGGCGTCCGGTCGCGCAGTAACGGAAAGGGGGAATTGAAGTGGACGAACGGCTCTGGCTTTGGCGTGTAGTATAGGGCCCCTTTGAACGAACGGCGCGGGGCGGGGCCACCACCAGCATCTGCGGCAGGATAGGGTCGCGTTGGTTCGACGCCAACGCAAACCCGGCGCCCCTTGCGGCCGGCTATTTTACTTCTCCCTCCACCAGATCAGATCACACAACAGCCAAGGAAAATTTCCCCCAAAACCCTCTCGAAACCCTAGCTTCGGATCCCGATGGCGAACCCGCGCGTCTTCTTCGACATGACGGTCGGCGGCGCCCCGGCGGGCCGGATCGTGATGGAGCTGTACGCCAACGAGGTGCCCAAGACCGCGGAGAACTTCCGCGCGCTGTGCACGGGCGAGAAGGGCGTGGGCAAGTCCGGGAAGCCGCTCCACTACAAGGGCTCCACCTTCCACCGCGTCATCCCGCAGTTCATGTGCCAGGGCGGCGACTTCACCCGCGGCAACGGCACGGGCGGCGAGTCCATCTACGGCGAGAAGTTCCCCGACGAGAAGTTCGTGCGCAAGCACACGGCGCCCGGGGTGCTCTCCATGGCCAACGCGGGCCCCAACACCAACGGCTCCCAGTTCTTCATCTGCACCGTCGAGACCCCCTGGCTGGACGGCAAGCACGTCGTCTTCGGCCAGGTCGTCGAGGGCATGGACGTCGTCAAGGCCATCGAGAAGGTGGGCTCCCGCAGCGGCTCCACCTCCAAGGAGGTCAAGATCGCTGACTGCGGCCAGCTCAGCTAGATCTCTGGTCGTCTCGTCTGTCCGGCCGCCATCCCTCCGTCATCGTCGACTCCGCCTGCGTCGTCCCTTTTTCCGTTTGCTTCGATCTGAATAAGATGATGGTAATCTGAGTGGTGGTTTGAGTTGAGTCAGTCGTTTATCATGTGTCTGTCCCGCTCGCTGTTTAATTTAGCGGTTCATTTATGTGTGGATCTGCGAATCCCATGGCGCCTCTGCTTACTTCGTGTTTCACCAGTTATGTGATGAGATCCATCTCAAGATAATGCTATGAGAACTAAAATTTGGTCTCATGCGTCTTAATTGGTCTACTACTTTGTGCGGTTGTGCCTTGTGCGGCTTGTTCCAGTGCAAGTTCTGACCCCAAAATGATTTTGATTGTCAATGTGTTAATGTGAACTGACAAGCATGGATCACTCCTTTGCGTGGCACATGGTTCTTTGTTTGGTGTGCTAGTAAATGATCCCAGCATTCTCTTATCTTTAGAAAAGAACTGTCTGATGATTTATAACCAAAATTCTTTTTATATTCTGACTGATGAAACCACTGTCTGTATGATTTATAACTGGTCAGTGTTGACAATAGAGGGCAATGTGTTCAGGAGGAATGCAGTGGATATCTTTGCATAAAGAGCTGGGGCTTTCCAAACTCTGTATGGAGATCATGAAAGATATGAGACCACATGCTTCAAACTACCGTTTTTGGGGTGTTATTTCACTGGTGATGGTTATGCAGTTAACTTACTGAAGTGTTTCTACTAATATGAGATCAAAGTGTATGAGATCATTGGTTACCATTTCAAATAGTCTAGCATGTACTAGTCATGTATTTGGTTCATGTTGTTACTTCCTAGATCATGTTTGGCATTGGCGACTTTCAGCGTAAACTATGTTGCCCTTTATTTGATTATATACAGTGTGCCTAGAGTTGGTAGAGCAGACAGCAGAGGTCCCACCCACAATGTGCAGAGGCTGCCGTTGTTGGTGTTGAGCATGAGGTATAATCTGCTGCTATTTCTCTCTTTCATGCACCCTGTATTGGTATACTTGCATATAAGTTATAAATTGCCTTCTTCAGGTCAGTTTTGGTGGCTGGCGTTTCTTATAATGACAGTGTGCAGTCAGGTATTTTCTTTACCTCGGATCTTGTGAGTTGTGACTGAGCCGGCCTATTGACAAACAGACATTTTTGTATTGTCAAACAGTGTACCCATCCATTGAATATTATCTTCTTGGTAGTTGGTTGGCATGGGATACTTCTTGTAGATTTCACATGATTATCTTCCAATCTTCCATTATAAAACCAAGTTACACAATCAACTACAAAATTTCTGATGCATCTAGATTTGCCATATCCAAGTAGAGACTAATCTTTCGATCTCAAAGTTCTTAGCATGAATCATGAAAGGAGATATAGTATGCTCCTGTGAAGTAGTCCACATTCTTTGGATGCACACCCTTCAGGGTTACGGCAAATGGTGCGAACTCTATTGACTATATAGGTCTAAGAGTCTAAGACAGCGAAGAAAACATGGTCTGACAAAAGAAAATAATAGCAATCAGATATTCTTGAAACATTTCTCATATTGGCTCCTGCAATTAGGGATGCCAGCATGTCAACCAAGGAAAAGAATAACTAGCATAGGTGAGTGAAATTGGATTTCTACTTTGTATGGAGTGGGTTTTGGGTTAATCCAAGAAGAAAATTAAACTTTGTGCTACCTTTAATGCTGAATGTGCTGCTCGTTCATATGCTTTTGCTTGATTTGAATAAATCACTAAAGCTTCATCTTCACGTAAATTACCGTTGCCTTTTTGTGGCAGATTGGGGCATTTCTGGTTCCAGACTATCCTTTGGGCAACAAATTCCTAAAATCTGGAGCGGCAATATTGTTAGGTTCACATGGTGGATGCATCACCAGTTCGTCACCTGCTGGTTCCGTTTGTTTATATATGATCAGTAGAATGTGCATTTCAGAAGGGCGGGCCTGGTGCAAGCGGTAGAGTCTTATCGCCTGTGACCGGAAGGTCCTGGGTTCAAGTCATGGTCTTCTCGCATTGCACAGGCGAGGGTAAGGCTTGCCACTGACACCCTTCCTTAGACCCTGCACAGAGCGGGAGCTCTCTGCACTGGGTACGCCCTTTTAGTAGAATGTGCATCTCAGTGTCCAGAAGCAAAAGTGAGGTGGGGTGTATGCTGATTTGGCTCTTCTTTTGTATAAACCTTTGTATCACATACAGATAGGCCCATGTAAATTTCGCAAAAAAAAAAAAGATAGGCCCATGTAAATGTATTGCTTTGACACTAAAAATATCAATAAAAGTCAAATTTTCATTCTTCTTTCTTTTGGATGACTGTGTCCGAGCTTGGGGTTTAAATTTGATACGCTAATTCTTGGACCTTTTGCATTATATAAGTGATATATCCAGGTGTTGTGACTTTCTGAAATCTGGACGCTACAATGTGGAATTGTGACCATTTTCAAAGTTGAAGTACAAGCACTTTTTTCCGAAAAAAAACTTATTTTAGAAACTTTTATGCCTTCTGTGGCTACCCAAATTTACGGTAGTCTTTTTTTTCTGAGTTTTTTAAACGGAATTGGTTTCAGACAAAACAAGGGCATGCTTCTAAGATGAAGCACGACAAACCACTTGGAGAACTGAATCATACATTCCAGCTTCTAACAAGAAAGGTTGAAGTTTTCAGTGAGAACTTGTTTGGATATGTACTATATTTTATCTGAATCCCATCGTATTACTCTCTCGTATGATATCATATACATGCTCAACTCCACCATATACAAAGATGTCAGGAAGAATGGATTCTCCTGCAAGTGGCAACAGCCAGCCCGGCAGCGCTGATAGAATAGGCAGCCCCATGGCGCATGAGCTGAGCACTATCGTGCTCTAACCGCATAGCAAAACTTGGACTGAGCACCTACTTCTGTATCCCGTCCGTGTAAGTTATTTTTCTCGAAGTTTGGGCTGTGCATCGTTATATCAAGAATTAAAAACGTGTCCAAGTTTGGGCCTGAACATGTAGAAGATCATGGCTTCACGCCCCGATACCAATGACTTTGAGCTGTTTTTTCATGTAAAAAAGGTTCATTGTTAGGTATTTCCAACAAAACATGAACTGCACTTGTAGAACCCATTGAAATCTCTGCAGCTAGGAGGAGCATAACGCTGTCATATTCAAACTTACAAGGCTGTTGTTGGGGTCCCTCCAGTAGAAGCCACGGATGAACATGGGCAGGATGTTGCATGCCACCAGGACATATATCATCAGGGCGTGCTTCCCCATCCACTCCATGGGAATGGTAGGTTTTCTGAACCCGTACAAATCCACCTGAAAAATCCATGACAGTTACTGTGAGGTTTCGGAGATGATGGATGACACTAGCATATCTATGTTTTCAGGTTTACGAAGACCAACAAGAGCATAAATTCCAGCGAAAAGAAGACCCGCAGCACCAGCAGTAGCCAAAGTGTAGCTTATCGTGTATAGCGGTTTATTCATGCGCATTCCTGAAAAGAATCGTGAAAATTGTTCAATCCATCTCAAGCTCTAAATATTGGGAATAAGGATGTGGTTGAGCAGTGTTTGGTGAATACTTACCAACAAAGTCCATTAAGAAGGCTACAGCTAACATGCTGAAGGAAGGGATCAGCCAATTGGTTATTCTTCCTCTGTGTTTCTGCAGGTTGGGGAGGGGGGGTGAGATAAAAATATTTTACACGACTACACGAGAATAATTTCTTAACCTAGTATCATAGACCAGCACTATACCTCAAAGTGTATAATTATATGCCCAAACTGAAGCCCAATCAAGCAAGTGACAATTGCCATAACGGAGCTGAAACATGAATAAAGGACAGTAAGAACTAGCACTCAGTTGGAGGAACCTGCATTCCAAGGAAAGCTTATGGTCACTGACGAAGAGTTAGTGAAGCACTGACCTGAGGAGGCCTTCAGGATCAAATGGTGCCTGGCACCATGATGGAGCATCAGGTGGAAGAGGTCCATTCTCTGGATAATTTATACTACATTCCTGCATGTTAGCCAAAATCTTTGACTGAGTTTTGTGACAAGGAAGCAGAAAACTGAGACTTTGCACTTCATATCAAACCTTTGTGCGTGCATAAACTGGCCGTCTATAGAGGTGATCGATCCCTAGAATTGTACGGTCAACCATTCCAACTGCATTGCAAGCTGGTCCTGTGTCTCCTCTCACTCCACATTTCACCTGACGAATCCAAATGTAGCATGAACGTCAGCGCTTCTTCCGTATTGTATACTGAACTTGTAACAAGATAAAGAAAATGCAGCGACACTTTGCACTTACAGAGAATGACTTCTCTGAACCAGGGCCTGATATCTGGTACTCCCAGTCTGGAACATATATACCGTACAAAAGAATAGTATACGCTATAGAGAGGACCAATCCTACAAATCTAGCAGGACAACAACGAACCATATGTTATAAATATGAGATATCAGTACCAGGTCAATTATTCAAATTCTATAGTTCTTGAACAGTAAATGCATAACCCAGCATAACTACTGATCGTTCGTGGAGGATAATTTTATCTGAACTCACAGTTGGTAGCGGTATCTCCTTAGTAAACCATATCCAGAATCTACATCGTCATTTCCCTTGAGCCAGATTTCACATATTGCAGCCAGGAGATAGGCTATTGCAATCCTCTGCAACATATATAACCATCATATGCCGTTCAAGATGACTTACACGTTTTCCAGTACTGAATGTGTCAATTTGTTCTGAAAGAACAATAAAAAATCGGTACCTGAAGTATGCCCATCAACCGAATTTTCGTTAGATCAACACCAAATGTGAGACTGTGGACACCATGAAAAAACCCACCTGCATAAAGAACCAGCACATGGAGAGCGAACTGATTGTTACACTAGCTAACTTTTTTGGGGAAATTTTTTAATAGCCCATCTTTTGATACTAGTTGTGAGATCCAAAATACCTTGGAGAACAAGACCAAGACAGAACAACTTGAGGGCACGAAGTAGTGCCTTTTTAGTTGCCTCCAGTTTATCTGGCACCCGCTGCACATAGTGGTATGACAAATCATCATTCAACATGCTGATAACTCGGCATTTAATTTGAAGAAAAAGGGAGTATAAAGAGTAGTGTGTTTGTGATCTCAGTGTCCAGTATACCTTGTACGCTAGTGTTAGTGAGACTCCAACTATGAAAAGGAAGAACGGCATGACGAAATCAGCTATTGTTACGCCATCCCAAGGAGAGTGGTTCAGTGCTGGGAGGAAGCCTCCAGCATCGTCAACAATAATCATAAGCTGCAACAAGGAAAACAATCACGTCCTGCCTGTTTCAGATTGCAAGTAAAAAAAATACTGTGACAATTTGGTGGACGTTTTTCTCCTTTTCCCTTATTCAACAAGGTGACCAATTCGGGGATTAGAAAAGATCATAGGTGGTTGCATCGGTTAGTTCTTTGTGAGAATGATAACAGCACCATAACTCCACAGGTCAATGCTTTCCTGTTTCCAGTGCTTAAAAGACTCTGACTGCTCCACAAAAAGAGAACACAAGGTATTGAGATATAATAATCTCAAACTTGTCATAGCTAGATCAAGAAGGGCTAATAACAAATCCTGGAAAGCAAGTTAAGTAACATCAATCACAGCAGATCTGATGCCACGCTTTGGTTAATGATCTACATTATATTAGTACATTATTGGATTCTGCTATCCTGTAACTTGTGGCTAAAGCATTACTCCTATATATACTAATACTAAACATCACTGATCTAGCGCCATTCCAGTGGAGTTAGCCAAGCATCGGATTCAGAAACCAATTAAGCCACTGTTTTACTGCCTTTACCTCGAAAGGCTGACGAACATATTCTGTGTTGTAAATGGATGGACTAGTCCATTCCAACATAGCAGTTCCTGGATTCCCGTTCTAGGGCTTGCGCCAATGGAAGGGAGATTAAAATTCATACAGATGTAACAGATAGAAAAATCCCCTATGGTGGCATTCGGAGCAAAGGAACGGCACCTAAGAATTCATTTGAGGAAAAAAGTACTTCCTCTGTCCATTTTTACGTCATTCTCACTTCTCGAGAAGTCAAACGTACCTAACTTTGACTTAATATATAAAATAAAATATTAATATTTATAGTACATAATTAGTATCATTAGTCATTAAATTTATTTTTATAATAAATTCATTCGGAGATACAAATTTTGCTAATATTTTTTACAAACATAGTCAAACTTGCCAAAATTTAACTGGCACAATTCCAACGGCTACAATTAAATAGGGATGGAGGGGTATTTCATTTAGAAAAATCATACCCTCGTTAGCCAAATGACTAAAATACTATGTTACAATGTTTCAAAAATCATCGCAAAGATCATGTATGTAAGTTAAGTGTAGCCGCAACAATTTAGATTGAAATTCATCTTTGATACTAAGATTAAAAAAACAGAAGTGTCACTGTCGGCACATGATGAACAGTGCCAGGTTGATTGCTCGTCTATTTTGTTTCTTGGCATCTAGGATGAATTTCAAACTGAATTCTTACCGTTATACTTAACTTTATGTGTACTACATATATGATTTTTGTGATAATTTTTAATATTTTAGGTAAGGAGGGCGCCAGCCCCCCTGGGCACCAATCTTCACTCTTTCGTTCATGACGCTGTGATTTGTTTTATGGGACAGATATTTGTGAGTGAATTCCTGTGTGACGGATACTCGACACGTTATCTGCCATCTGTGCCCAATCCAATCCATGCTGACTTTGCCGGGGTAGCTTGGCCAGTACAGAACTACAGATGGCTGGCTAGCAGCTGCAATGCCCCATCCGTGCACTGCACTGCAGGCCCATGTCTGATATGGACGGCTGGACCCCCTGCTCTTGCAGGTCTAATGAAGCTACACGAGGACATGCCATCACAGTAGGAGTAGGCGAGTAGCCCAGTCCAGCCTCCAGCGGCCACATGGAAGGACATCGTAAAAGTAGCGTTTTCGTTGTTATTTATCAATTAGTGTCTAATTATAGTTTAATTAGGCTTAAAAGATTCGTTTCGTGTATTTTGTCTAAACTGTGTAATTAGTTTTATTTTTTATTTATATTTAATGCTTCATGCATATGTCAAAGATTCGATGTGATGGAGAATCTTAAAAAATTTGGTATTTTAGTGTGCAACTAAACAGGGCCTAGGATCTAAAAAATTTTACTCAGTGTCCGTCACATCGAATCTTACGGCACATGTATGAAGTACTAAATGTAGACGAAAAAAACTAATTGCACAGTTAGGTGAGAAATCGTGAGACGAAACTTTTGAAACTAATTAGTCCATAATTAGACACTAATTACCAAATACAAACAAAATGCTACAGTAAGCCAAAATCCAATTTTTTTTTTGACTAAACGGGGCCTAGTTCGTTTTACTGCGTGAGATCCTGGGCGCTAATACGAGTACTGTTTCTGATGTTCTGTATAGTCGTATAGATACTTGAAATTGTTCTTTTGTTAGGGGCACCTTGAGATAAATTAACTCTGAGTCGGTGGATCTTGACTTCAACCAGAGTGGTACTTTCCATGCTGTGAATTCGCTTGGTCGTATTCGGCTTATAAGGCATGTCTTATCAGTCAATGAATAGTATTTTTTTCACACACTAAATTAATCAACAGTACTTTCAGTCATGACTTATAAGCTAAACAAGTTCTATCGAACAGGGCTAAGGTGAAGAGATGAGACGTCTAGTGGGCCGGGGGTGGCTTTGGCTTTTGTTCGTGTCAAATTGCAATTAGTGAAAGGCGGTGCCACAGACCATGCTCTCACTCGGTGCTCGACACGACGGATAAAGAAATAGTACTTGAAAAGAAGCAGCAATCAGTGGCCGCCAAAGTGGCGATCCACGGCGTCATCACTGGCACTGGATAAGCTAGCAGTCTTTCTGCTAAAGCATGTGTCTCAAATGTAGCTACGCGTCATGCTCATGCATGGGATGGATGTAGGTTTAGCGACATGTGTTAGTGCGAGTATGCCCTTTGGCTACAAGCCACAGGAAAGTAACAAGTAATCACTTTGTCCGCGGAACCCAAAAGAAAGGTGTATCTATCGAACTTCCCATTCTTACGCACTAAGCTAGCACATTTGATGTCATGGTCTTTTTAGCAATCACGGAAAATAACGCTAATGCAGTAACAGAGATGTTATCACCGGGGGAAAAAATAGTAAGACGTGTGTGGTGGTGGTGGTGGGTGTGTGGGTGGGGGGGGGCTTATGTCCCTCTACAGTCAAGTACATACCATAGGGAATGCCAGGTGGGCCACGACATACCTTGTGGAGCAGCTTAATATTCATCTGACACTAACGTATAACATTACGTAATAAATATTTGTTGTAATAGACAGTAAGGGTGTCGAATGTAGCGACTGTTGAAGTGTGATGTGCATACGCTAGGAGACGTAACAGCGCACACCCGCCCACCCCACCCCTACGTGCACTTTTTCTCTTCTTTCATGGCCAGCCCCGCCCCCACCCACCTCCACCACCGCCTAGCCCACCGGCGACCTCCGCCCACCTCCGTTGGACGAACCAGCCCATTCCCTAATCCCAATGGAGGAGCTCGTTGGCGACTCCTCGCCCCTACCGCCGGCACCACCCAATGGGTTGTCTCCCTCCACTCGCTCGGCGACGGTGACGCCACCTTGCTCATCGCCCCTCAACCTGCCACCACCGCCTAGCCAGTTGCCGCCCCCGGGCCCCTTCTTCTAAGGCCGCAGGCCATAGCTGTTCGCTTGAGCTTATCAGCCATGGTACAGTCTCTCACAATAAATCAGCCAACCGTATTTTTCAGTCTGATTTTTCAGCGAAGCGAACAATGAAACCCTAACTGCCGCCTCATTCACCGCCCCGGTCGTGGTGACCTCGCCGCTGGCATTCCAACGCTGCCTCCACCCTGCCCCCTTTTACGATATTCTAGGCCTACCATTGACTGCAGGCCACTTGGAACGTCTACGAAGCCACTGGCCTGTGTGGCCACGTGACATGGAGACTTAGGTACTGTTTAGTTCTAGAAAATTTTATAAAAATTTTCAAGATTCTTTATCACATCAAATCTTTGATGCATGTATAAAATATTAAATATAAATAAAAAATAAAACTAATTATACAGTTTAGACGAAATCCACGAGATGAATTTTTTAAACCTAATTAAACTATGATTAGACATTAATTAACAAATAATAACGAAAATGCTACAGCAGCATTTTGCAAAAATTTTCGGCATCTACCCACAGCCTTAATGCTGATGTGAAGTATGAGGCATACGCTACGGGCACAGTCCCCGTGATCACCGTCACGGGCAGCAAGATCCGGCTCCGAGTGTCGGTGCAAGCTCCAACCGACGTGCGGCCGTCCACATCTCTACCGGCTTCGCCCCCGCAGCTGTCGCCGATGCATCGTTATTTCAACCGCGGATAATTCTTTGTGTACGACACTGCTTGTTGGATAATTCTTGTGTTAACTCTTTCCAAATTTGTAATTTATTATTTATACAATTTATAACATTTTATAAAATTCTGTAATTTATCTTCATGCAGTTAACACAACAATCTTGCTCCGCAATTTTTTTGCAATTTAACAGGAAACAAGAGCACGTATCATTTGGAGAGTTATTTAAGTAAAAATCGTTTTCTATATGTATAGTCTCCAACATCTTTTTTTTATATCTTGTGTGAAGTCTAAAAAGTCATCATCGCCCTCGATCTTTGGCTAGTTCGAGAAATCCAGAATAGAGGATATCTATATTTTGATATACAATTGAAGAGACTCTTGGAGGGTGTGTTTTTTTTCACCAAAATCTCTATTCCTGTAAATTAGGAAAGATATAAATAGTTTCTTGGAGATGCTCTAATGTCTATTCAACGACACTGGGCGACAGAGATGATCCATGCATGAGGGCACTGTAGAGAAAAGGAGTCTTGAAATAGTTCAAATCTAAAACTAGAATCCTAGATACAAACAGACAGATTTTTACCACGTACAATCTGGATTTTAGAATCCGGATTCCTAGAATCCCCATGGGATTCAAACGGGACCTTAGGGCGTGTTTAGTTCGCGAAATTTTTTGGATTTAGCTACTGTAGCATTTTCATTTGTATTTGGCAATTAGTGTCTAATTATGAACTAATTAAGTTCGAAAGTTTTGTTTCGAGATTTCTCACCCAACTGTGCAATTAGTTTTTTTTCGTCTATATTTAATACTCCATGCATGTGCCGTAAGATTTGATGTGACACTTTGGGGTGAAAATTTTTAGGAACTAAATAGAAACTAAATAGGGCCTTAGTTCATGGTAATAGTTAGTGAACCGCGTCCAGACCCTGGGCGGCTAGCTTTTGGCCGGTGGAGGCCGGTTCGCTTGCCGCGCTTGCAGGCCAAGCAAAGCGAAAGCCAACTAGACCAAATCCAGGCAAGCAACAAAAGACGGCCGAAAAGAAAGCGATTCAGGTAAGCTGGGGTGGAGCTGATGCGGCCAGCCACCACCACACTCCCCAGGCCTCAGCAGTCACCCCCACCGCCGGACCTTTGCCGGCCGAATGGAGGGTTATTCGCTACGTGCACGCGCCGGCGCCGGCCGGCGAGGGGCGTCGGCGTCGTACACAGAGGGCTGCAGCGTAAGCGCCAAGAGGGCGTCGACGTCGAGTACACCGTTCCTGGGACGACGGATTGGGATTGTTTGCGGTCACAGTTCAGGAATCTAGTTCAAACCTGAGTTGAGTTTTAAAAATTCCCAAAATCAAGGTCCCCTACCATACAGGGTGGGCAGGTGGTGCATAGACTTCGTCAGCTCCTGACGAATGCGGTCTGTTTGATTGGCTAGTTCATATTGTTATTGGTTCATTTATATGAGAGATAAATACTGCTGGCTGGTTCATGTGAATAGTATCACATATGAGGGGCTGACCAGCCAGCCCAGCCAGCCAGCCCCAGCCGATCGGGCTGCATGAAGCTCTGCTTTCCTATAGGCCGTCATGATCCGCCAGACGAGTTTTCTTTTCTTTTTCCAGAGTAAGTCTAGTACAAATAAAATTAGTTGGCACGTCGCCACGCTCCAACTATGCAAAGTGCTGAAGTGGGCAAGCGGACTTGTGGGGGTAACAACAACGTGGATTGGTGAACTAGAACCGGCCTACCGCAGATTGTAAATGACACAGGCAACGGTAGGGATATCGTGTGGTGTCGTACGTACACGCGAGACGCTCTTACGTCATTACTTTACTCCTATATATTATTGTTGTATGTATACACCATGTTCGTTTGTTAGTTTCAGTCAGGTTTATTTAACCAACCAATAATATTTTTCTTTAAAAAAAATCAGCACCAACCAGTCTAAATCAGCACCAGCACCAACCAGCGAACAAGGTGATAATTAGACCAACACAATCTTGCGGCGCATCTTCTAGGACTCTATGGTCTGTGGGAGCAGCACTCATCATCACCATGAGGCTTTGATATGAAGAGGTCGGTGGATCAGTGCATGATAATAGGCTAGCGAAAGTCTAAACGAAAAGGCAAACAAGTTTACCCGTGGAATCATCGACACATTTATATTGCAGTACTCCGGCCGTCCCAAAAATAAGCCTAGTTCTCATTTCCCGGGGAAATGAATACTTTTAATTTTGGCTAAATATATATAAAAAATATTAATATTTATAGTATATAATTAGTATCATTAGATAGATTATTGATTTTATTTTTATAATAAACTTATTTGGAGATACAAATGTTGCTAATATTCTCTATAAACCTGATTAAACTTAAGAAAGTTAGACGGAACGCGAAATCATAGCGACACTTATTTTTGTGTCGAAGAGAGTTATTAAAGTAAGTATAGCAACATGTACTTAAGGCTTCGTTCAGATCCATTAAGCTAGAAACTAACTATGAGCTATGTTAACTAGGAGAAACAAGCTAATAGTTACTCCTCCGTTCAAATTATAATTCGCTTGATTTTTTTTTGACTCTAAGTTTGATCGCTTCGTCTTATTCAAAAATTTTGTGTAAATATAGTCAAATTTAAGTCATTCTTAAAGAACTTTTGTTAATAAAGCAAGCCACAACAAAAGAAGTGATATTTAGCACAAAATTTTGAATAAAACGAGTAGTCAAACTTGTGGTAAAAAAAGCCAAACGAACTATAATTTAGAACGGATTTAGTAATTGTTAGGTTTATATATTAGCTAAGGATCAAACAGATATTCACAGTTATTTTTAGCAGCTAAGCATTATTAGTTATAGGGATAAAAAATGGTGGTATGTAAGACAATTGACCGAATTCATTAGCTAAGGATCCAAACAGCTATTTATAGTTAGTTTTAGCAGTTAACAATTAGTCGTAGGGTTGCAACTACTCCCTCCGTTCTAAATTATAAGTCGTTTTGACTTTTCTAAGACATCCATTATGCTATGCATCTAGATATATCGTCATGTTCGCTTTGGCTTTATAAGCCGTATTTTTCACCAATGAACAATATTTCTCTCTCACAATAAATCAGCCAACGGTACTTTCAGCTATGGCTTATCAGCCAAGCGAACATGGCAATAATAATATGTCTAGATACATAGCAAAATGGATAAACTAAAAAAGTCAAAGCGACTTATAATTTGGAATGGAGGGAGTAATTTTTAGCAACTAGATATTAGTTGAGGTAGATTTTTTTCCTAGTGAATTTGTGTGACCAAACAAAACCTCTCATGGATCGACAGACGTGCCAATTGTGTATTTATCGGTAAAAACGGTACATGTGCCTCTTTTGAGGCTCTACAGGAATTTGATCGTCATGTGACACGTTACTATTTGAATTAAAAATACTAAAGTGGCAGCAGTCTGTTAACCAACTGTTTTGCCCTAGCAGGAAGCAGTGTCCGTACGGGACCTAAAGCTGGCAAGTATAGAGCCATACGGATGCGGCTCCTGTGACTGAGCAATGAGCATGATGGTTTAGTATAAGCAGCTGTTATGTTTTGTCTCCTTGGCCCAATTGACCCTGACTCGGATTCCCCTCGCTGTCTTCTTGTTTTGACCCTTTTATTTATCATTTATCAATCATATAATCATGGCGTCGTGTACAAAGACATGACCAGGTGAGGTGACCAGCGCGACCATGAACCAGTGAAACAAAAGTTTTTTTTTCTTTTCTTTAGCAAAAGGCTCATGCACGGTTGCACGCAAAAGCAAGCAAAGCTAGGGGCGCGGCGCTCCTGAATGGCGAGAAGAAGGGATGTGAAAGCAGACAAGGGAGAAAAGCCAAGCACAAGCACGGGCGGCAGGGATCATGGTGGCACGCGGCAGTTGGACAGTCCACGCTCTTCGTCACGACGGCGCATGATGCTGAGTGAATGAGTGGCCTGGGTTGGGTCGGTTGGTCGATCGATGCCGAATTGCCGATGCCCCCGCCCCTCCACGCCCATGGATGGGCGTGGCGCAAAGGAAAGCGCAGCGCCCGGGCGACGGACGGTAATGGTAGGAATCGAGAAGCGAGAATCCAATTCAATTCGTCCGAGAATCCACTACTGGTATGAGTACGAGTAGGAAGAGGAGGGGCGTACCAGGACGGTTATCCCGCGGAAGACGTCGAGGGAGACGAGGCGCGGCTGCCGTGCAGCGGGCGACGACGGCGACGGCGACGCCTTGCCGGCGCTGGCGCCGGACTCGAGATCGGTTCCCGGGGCGCCCGGCGCCGCGTCGTCGCTCCTGACGAGCTCGTACCCGCCCATGGCCGTAGTCCTCCTCTGCCTGCAGCACGGCGACGGCGCGAGTCCGGCGCCGGGCAATGCCCTTGCCCCTCCTGCTGCATTCCCATCCGCCGCCGCCATCACAAGCGCACAACAAACAGACTCAGCAGATGCGGGAGGGAGGGAGGGAGAGACCCGGCCGGCAAACCGATCGAGAGAGGAAACTGGTAGATGGATATCCGCCTCCGCCTTACCTGGGGCAGCAGTTGCGTGGGCTTGTGGTACGGGAACGGGACTCCCTCTGCTCTCCCTGCTTGGCTGCTTGTTTTGATTGAAGCGCAACAGACTTGCGTGATCTCCCGCGCCTGCAAACTCTTTTTATGTGTCCGCTGCTAGCTGCGTCTGTTGCGGGAGGGCTCGCGCTCGCCGACCGCCTTTCGTCTCGAGCGGACGCGCTTCGGTGGATCGTGTCTAGGACTACTACTAGCCGTGTTTATATAGGACTGGGAGTAGGACTAGATTCACTGTTCGACAGGACTTATTGATGCTACGATTGATTTATAGGACTAATTTATTGGAAAAGAAAAACATTATTTTTATGGCTGGAAAATAGGACCGGGCCTTCACTTGTTGCCTTGATGATGGGTGTCCACTGGCCAGCGGCCTCTCCATCGATATCGATCGATCATTTAATAGCGGGACGGCCGGGTCGCGCCATCATTTGCCATTTGCCAGTCGGCGCGGCACGTTGGCGCCCGGCCTTTCCGTTCCGTGATGCCCTTTCAATGCCGTCGATCGATCGGGACCGGGACCGGTACCGTGTGATGTGCTGTGCTGGTCCTGCCCGGCCCGTGTCTCTCTGTCGCCGTGTGCCGCGTCGCGATACCGCCCGCCGGAAAATGATCGTACGTGCGTGCTGCCGATAAGCGAAGCGCTGCACCGCGGACGGAGCGATCGAGCCGGCATGAATCCGATGCTTCACATCACAGTGACGGATGCCTTTCTTTCTTCTCGCTAGAGGGAGGCCCGGCGCTCAGCGTCGGCAACGAGGATCCAGAGGCGTGGCTCCTGTGCATCGTCACACTTGGTGGATGTTCGTCCACAACACAGAAAGAGCATCGATCGGTGTCCGAAATCCAGCTGGGAGGAGACTCGTGTTATCCCCTGGTGTTCGCGTACGGATAATATTCCAGCCACCTAGAGTTAGGGTAGGCTAGAGTTGAAATCCAGCAGAAGCAATAAGGTTCAATACAGGAATTGAAGTGTTTTGGAATTAAGAAGCACATGACATGACATGCTAGCGTAACTTGCGTGTTCATTACAGGAATTGAAGTGTTCTCCAAATCAATTATTATCCATGTATAATAATTCTAAAAGCACCATGATGACATAGGCCCCGCTCGGCTGCCCTTGAACCCGGCTTGATCCGCTTCTTTTTTCATCCGAAACAGTGTTTTTCTCTCACAACATTTCATCCGGAACAGTATTTTTCATCCACTTTCCTCCAACTTCCCTCCAGCCGAACGGGGCCATAGTTCAGAATGCTAGCATCGCAACTAACAAAATTGATGTGCCATAAATACCAACTGATCATGTAACATGGTTGCTTGAATAGTAAATTGCACCTAATGATCATTTATTTACTATTAAAGCTGAAAAGAAAATGAACACTGCTTGTCAACTGACTCCTTAAATAATCAAGCACACAACATAAGTTGTTAAGGGAACATTGACGAAACACTTTGTGTTCATGATCTACAGTTACGTACTTCCAAATATTGATACTTTAGAAGAGTGGCTAAGGTCTTAACCTTCAGAAGATGCTATAATTCTTGATTTTGGGCTGCTAACTATGATTTTGCTGATTTTAAACCCAATCAAACAAACGATGACTTAAGAAAGACAGATGATCTGAAATGAAACTAGCAATAGATCATTCAAATTCAGTTTTAAGCTCTGAGAAGTCAAAGTTCAGTTCTGTCTTGTATGAAGTGTACCGTTGCTTAGCTTGCTATTGAATTACTTTATCAGATGACAGTATGACACCAGAAACAACTGTAATAAATAACAATATTTAAAACAGAGCAACAAGCATTTTTCGTTTGCATATTACCCGATACAGTTATGAGTTATTTTGATGGTTTACAGTTCTTGAGAACAAATTGGCTCTAACATAAAACTTTTGCTGGAAGATGCAAATGAAAAGCTTACTGCCAAGGCTTACTATGTACAAGAAGTCAAGAGAATAAAGTAGTAAAATACTGTCATTACGAGAGCACTACTAAGGTTGAATTAATTACAAAGGTTGACTTTTACATTAGTTTCACTTCAGGACATATTCTTCCAGAAGGACACATGTTTGGCCTTCAGCAAAACATGTGACATAACTTAATGCAGTAGATCTGGAGGCTTATGGAAGAATTTTTGTTGGAGAAAATCCTTCCTTTTTATACACTATGACTTCTGTTGTATATGCTGAGTCTAGTTCTTCAGATCTGGAATACTACATATCATTTGTTTGTAAACAATGTCCTCACATATCAACAATCAATGAGATATCTACGGCTCAGCAGTCACTCAGTTGGACATTCCTGGTAACCTCAAGAAAATCAAGTTCTTGTTATTATTCATGGTACATGGAATTAGTTGAAAACAGAATTCCATATGACTTGATGTGTGGAAGAGCACAGATAGCAAACGCATACACCTCTGAGAGAAAAACCAGCATATAAAATAAGCCCAGTATCTGAGCACTACCTCTATTGATGGTATTGTAATATCATCTTGCCAGACTTGGCATGTGGATATCTGATCCTATTTGCTCTTGTATTTGTAATCTTCCAATGGCATGTTGTGGGTAAAGCACGTGCAGTGGAATAAAGCAAATATTCATCACACGCAGGAGCAAGAGCAGTAGTTTCAGCAATGGTTTTGCTAAATGCAATTGGACAAACTGAAAACGTGACACCCGGGAACGTGATTCTATTATATTACACTAAAACCCCAGCAAAGCCATCCTTAGGCTGCCCATATATCCTCGTGGATGTCCAGAGCGAGGATGTAAAACAAAACGTCGATACTCGATAGCGGAAATGCTACTGTACATGAGTACATCGCTCAAGCGAGATTTGGCACTACCACTAGTCTTTTTCACCCGTTCGGTTGTCCTTAAACTCGCTTACGCTTCTTTTTTCATCCAGAACAGATCCCTCCAGATTCATCCAAAACCATTCAGATCCTCCAAATTCCTCCCGCGAACGGGGCTGTTTCGATCCTTGAGCCAGACTGGGAACCCACCATTGCGCCCAGCCCACCCGGCGGGCTGACTGGGAAGCATCCGCGCGGTCCCTGAAGCCGAAGCCACGCCTGACTGAAATAACTGTGCCGAGGAGCAGAAGCGTACCTAAGCATAAGGAGGGCGAGGGACCAGGCCGCGAGGCCGGGATGGACTCATTGGTCGGCCGCGGCGGAGGCGAACCTACCGACCCGGCCGCCTCGGTGGACGCGCCAATAGAGGTGGGGAATGGAGCGGAGGAAGAGAAGAGGTGGTGGTGGGGCGGGCAGCGGTCAGAGTAGGCCCAGCCCAAGAACCAGAACGATTGTTTATCTGGGCCCCAATCTCGGCCCCGGTCCCTTTTGCATTCAACATGCATCGCGTTCCGCCTCTCTCTTGGTCTTGGCACAACAGGCTTCTGACTGTTCATTGAAGGATGCACAGGAATGACCGATTAAACATCAAAGTGGTCGTGTCGGAGTGGTTATCGGGTATGACTAGAAATCATGTGGGGGCTTTGCCCGCGCAGGTTCGAATTCTGCCGACCACGTTTTTTGTTTGATTTGGAACCTGATGCATTCGCTTCTTTTTTATTTTAACTATAATTTTAGCCCACATGATTTCTCTCCCTTCCTCCTCTAGAAATTGTCGCATTGGTAATTGCTGCTTTATCCATTTATTCATTTTTTTCCCTTTCCTGATTATGTCTAGAGACACCACGGTGCATCGTGGATTGTGGTGGACGTGCATACTCATTGTTTTTTGCAAGTTCATTGGCAGGAGTAAGGATCAAAACGGTCGAAAAACTCTTAAATTGTTTTCTACTTTTACATTTGAAATACGAAAACGAAAACGAAAACGGTAAAGCCGGACACGAAAACAAACGCGAACTTATGAAATATCCAGAATTTCGAAAACGAACCAATTCGAGCGGATTTATGTCGAACACGGTCGATATACGAAAACTCAATACGTAATACCGACCCCGTAGGACCAAGTGCATGACTAAGTGCATGCATGATCAAGTGCATATAATAATTAACAAGTGCATATTATAGAAACATGAACTCGAACTGAGTCAGAATAATTTTATTAATTTTTTTTGAATAGATGTAGTATTTTATTTTAAAGATTTATTCAGATTTTTCTTTTGAGTAACAAAGATTTATTCGGCTGAGGCAAAAACTATCAAATGATTGACTTTGCAGGTGGGGGTTAAACCGATGAGCTTGATGGGCTATGGCCTAGGTGGGCTTTCATGTAGATGCTGCTAGCTTCCTGCCATTTAGAACCACCTCGTGAGGTGAAGGGAGATGAGGCTGGGCACCGTCTATAAGAGAGGGCAGCTGGCCACCAGTAGAAAAAACGCAGCTGCGTGGTGAACAACCTGTAATTGGATTGTATGACCTGTGCAGTTGGCCAAATTCGGTTTAAACCGAATTTTCAATTCGGAATATTTCAAATTAAAAGTAGAAAAGTAGAAAACGGTCGAAAAATGTCTAAACCGTTTTCTACTTTTACATTTGAAATACGAAACATCTGAAATACGAAAGCGAAAACGGTAAAGTCGGATAAGAAAATACGGATTCGATTGGATTAAATATAGAAAACGATGCGGTTCGATTCGAGATATTTCCGTTCCGTTTTCATCCTTAGCCAGGAGTGTATTGCTTTTGAGAAAAAAAAAAGTTTTCTTTACACGCTGGTTTCAAAGGCAAGACATGTTAGTGTTAGCATTATATATCTTTGTTATGGCTAGCAAAAAGATTCATAGCCAACATCAAATTAAAATTCTTTTTGTGCATACTCCACGTTTTTCCCTAGCTGTTACTGATCATGTGTAGCATATGTAAATAGAGCTGCTTAC